TTCCGGCACACAGGGACAGTGCTGCAAGTTGCTCATGCGCAGGACGCCATCATTCCGGCACACAGGGACAGTGCTGCAAGTTGCTCATGCGCAGGACGCCATCATTCCGGCACACACGGACAGTGCCGGTGCTGTAAGCTGAGCTGCGCATTCACAGGAGGCCATCATTCCGGTACACAGGGACAGTGGCAGCGCTGTGAGCTGCGCATGCGCAGGAGGCCATCATTTCAGCACACAGAAACAGTGCTGGTTCAGTAAGCTGAGCTACGCATTCACAGGAGGCCATCATTCCGGTACAAAGGGACAGTGGCGGCACTGTGAGCTGAGCTAAACATGTGCAGGAGGCTGTCATTGCGGCACACAGGGACAGTGCCGGTGCTGTAAGCTGCACATGCGCAGGGGGCCATCATTCTGGCACACAGGGACAGTGGTAGCGTTGTAAGCTGTGCTGTGCAGGAGGCCATCATTCAGGCACACAAGGATAGTGCTGGTTCAGTAAGCTGAGCTGCGCATTCACAGGAGGCAATCATTCCGGCACACAGGGACAGTGCTGGTGCTGTAAGCTGTGCATGCGCAGGAGGCCATCACTCCTGCATACAGGGACAGTGCCAGGCTTGTAAGCTGAGCTGCACATGCACAGGAGGCCATGATTCCGGCACACAGGGACAGTGCCGGAGCTGTAAGCTGAGCTACACATGCGCAGGAGGCCATCATTCCGATATACAGGGACAGTGCCGGAGCTGTAAGCTGAGCTGCGCATGCACAGCTCAGCTGATGTAGCTGGAGAAGACAGTAAGTAAGCAGGCAGGTAGGTGCATCTTAGTGCAGAAAAGAAAAGAAGGCTCCATTCATACTTGTGCAACTTCAAAATTGCGCGATTTTCATTGCGACTTTGGAATACAAGGTTATGGTCGAGGTGCTGTGCAAGTAAGGCCATGCGGAGCCCAGAGCGGGCCAGGCAGCAGACCATTCGGAGACCAAGGTGGGCCCGGCTGCAGCCCATGGGTTGCTGCAAGTGGGCATGGTGACAGCCTACAGGGAGCTGGATGTAGGCCTGACCACGGGGTGCCCAAGGCGGGCCTGGCGGCAGACCACGGGGAGCCCAAGGTGGGCCTGGCGGCAGACCACGGGGAGCCCAAGGCGGGCCTGGCGGCAGACCACGGGGTGCCCAAGGCGGGCCTGGCGGCAGACCACGGGGAGCCCAAGGTGGGCCTGGCGGCAGACCACGGGGAGCCCAAGGCCACATGGTATTAGCGAATCGGCTTCCGCAATGCCTGGTTACAGGAAGAAGGTTCCTCAATGATAGTTCCTGAGGAGGAAGTGATGGGAAATCTCCCCCAACAGACAGCTGAGGAGCTCGAACCTTCTCTGTGATACTTCCTCTAAATAAAGTTTTCCTATACAAACATGTGGGGGTTGGGTCAAAGCCTACAGCGCCCCCTATACCCCAACCCCACCCAGGAGCCCCACATACACAGATCCAAGATCACCAATCAAAGAAACCAGACAAACCTATCCAACACTGAACGGGGGGGGGGGGTATGGGAGAAAACATACAGAGGGGGCGTGTACTGTGAACATGAGGAAAAAATAGAAAACAAAAAGGGTACACAGTGGGAGGAGATACGAGGAGATACGCGTAGGTGGGGGGGGGTACACAGTGGGAGGAGATACGCGTAGGTGGGGGGGGTACACAGTGGGAGGAGATACGCGTAGGTGGGGGGGTACACAGTGGGAGGAGATACGCGTAGGTGGGGGGGTACACAGTGGGAGGAGATACACGTGGGGGGGTACACAGTGGGAGGAGATACACGTGGGTGGAGGGGGGTACACAGTGGGAGGAGATACGCGTAGGTGGGGGGGTACACAGTGGGAGGAGATACGCGTAGGTGGGGGGGGTACACAGTGGGAGGAGATACGCGTAGGTGGGGGGGTACACAGTGGGAGGAGATACGCGTAGGTGGGGGGGTACACAGTGGGAGGAGATACGCGTAGGTGGGGGGGTACACAGTGGGAGGAGATACGCGTAGGTGGGGGGGGGGTACACAGTGGGAGGAGATACGCGTAGGTGGGGGGGTACACAGTGGGAGGAGATACGCGTAGGTGGGGGGGGGTACACAGTGGGAGGAGATACGCGTAGGTGGGGGGGTACACAGTGGGAGAAGATACGCGTAGGTGGGGGGGTACACAGTGGGAGGAGATACGCGTAGGTGGGGGGGGTACACAGTGGGAGGAGATACGCGTAGGTGGGGGGGGTACACAGTGGGAGGAGATACGCGTAGGTGGGGGGGGGGTACACAGTGGGAGGAGATACGCGTAGGTGGGGGGGTACACAGTGGGAGGAGATACGCGTAGGTGGGGGGGGTACACAGTGGGAGGAGATACGCGTAGGTGGGGGGGTACACAGTGGGAGGAGATACGCGTAGGTGGGGGGGTACACAGTGGGAGGAGATACGCGTAGGTGGGGGGGTACACAGTGGGAGGAGATACGCATAGGTGGGGGGGGGGTACACAGTGGGAGGAGATACGCATAGGTGGGGGGGGGGGTACACAGTGGGAGGAGATACGCGTAGGTGGGGGGGTACACAGTGGGAGGAGATACACATAGGTGGGGGGGCACACAGTGGGAGGAGATGGACAGTTAGAGGGATACACAGCAGGGAAGATGGAGGGGGGGGAGAGGGGATTGGAAATATACAGGGGATAGAGTGGGGGGGAAATTAAGGCAATATGAGAGGGGGGGGACAGTGAGGATATGGGGGGAGGGGGTTAGTGAGGGGGATACAGAGCGGGGGGACACAGTGAGAAGGCTATGGGGGGAGGGGATACAGAGTGGGGGGGGACAGTGAGGAGGATATGGGGGGAGGGGGTTAGTGAGGGGGATACAGGGGGGGGGACAGTGAGGATATGGGGGGAGGGGGTTAGTGAGGGGGATACGGGGGGGGGGGGGACAGTGAGGATATGGGGGGAGGGGGTTAGTGAGGGGGATATGGGGGGAGGGGGTTAGTGAGGGGGATACGGGGGGGGGATACGGGGACAGTGAGGATATGGGGGGAGGGGGTTAGTGAGGGGGATACGGGGGGGGGGGGGGGGGACAGTGAGGATATGGAGGGAGGGGGATACAGAATATGGGGGGTCAATAAGGGGGATGGGGGAGGTATACAGAGGGGAGGGGGGGACAGTGAGGATGATATGGGGGGAGGGGGTTAGTGAGGATATGGGGGGGGGTATACAGAGGGGAGGGGGGGACAGAGGGGTTATACAGAGGGAAGGGGGATGGATGCAGAGGGGGGGGGAGGGGGCAGAGTGGGGGGTAGAGGGGTATACAGAGTGGGGGGGGGGACAGTGAGGAGGATATGGGGGAGGGGGTTAGTGAGGATATGGGGGGGGGTATACAGAGGGGAGGGGGGGACAGAGGGGTATACAGAGGGAAGGGGGATGGATGCAGAGGGGAGGAGGGGACAGAGTGGGGGGTAGAGGGGTATACAGAGGGAACAGGGAGGGGGATGGGTTTGGGGGGTGCAGTCACCGGGGTGTCGGTCCAGTCGGGGCCCTGAGCGGAGGAGGCCGGAGTCCTCAGTAGTAAACAAGTCCCGGCTGTAGGCCTCAGGCCGGCGTGTGTCTCCCTCGGTGTCGGGGTTCGGTGTCCAGGGGGGGTCCCCGCTCTGCCCTAGGTGGGGGATGGGCCCTCTGGCCGGGTATGCGGGGTCTACACAGGGCGGGGGGAGGGGGATCAACTCATCGGATCAGCTGCAGCCATGTCCGGCCCGGCTCCTCCCCTCGACTCCGCCCCCTACAAACTCACTGTGCGCAGCTCCGCCCCGGCCAGCCTTCCGTCTTCCTATCCCGCCCTCACCTTCCCGACCGAACGTGACCCCGCCCCTCCGCTCTGACTGGTCTAGACTCCGCCCCTCCATCGCTTCACCGAGCTCCGGAGGGTGGTGGGGGGGAGGAGTCCGTTCTGTGTACAATGTATATACTGTATACCGATCACAGACCGGAGTGCGGGGGGAGGGGCTGGGACGCCTATAATAGACCAGTTCTATTAGTGATCCATGTACCGGGCCTTCCCGATCACCGGGCAATGTCATGTCATCGCCAATGTATTGTGACATGGCTCGAGGTAGGCCGTAGTCATGGTGATGTACAATATATTGCCCCCACCGTATTGGTCGGCCGGCCTTTCCACACACATGACCTTTAATGGCCCCCCAGTCTTACACGGGTCTGAATTTTGGACGAAAAATTGGTCGAATTTTGACCCGAGAAGAATCAGCCAATTTTCGCTGTGTTAGTGGGGTCAATGGCATCGGCCGATTTTCGTGGTTCCTCCCCTTTTCAGCGATCAAGCATGTTGGAAAAATTTGTGAAAAACTACCGGTTTTCGACTCGATGGTCAAAACATACGATCGTTTTTCCGAAAAGAATATGCGCACGAGCCGCGACCTGGAAGGAACAGAAGTTTCACCTGTTATATGGGGGGAACTGTATGACTCGGTCGGCCAATTTTCGAAATCATTGATCGATGTTCGTACAAAAAAAAATCGGAATTCGAAACAAGTATGGCTTGCGTTAGCCCGTAGGGTTCAATATTGAGTTGGCCCCACCCTTTCCACACACATGACCTTCAATGGCCCCCCCAGTCTTAGTCCTTAGGGTTCAATTTTGCAATTTCTGCAGACAGTTGGTGACTTCTGCGCACTGTGCACTTCAGCATGCGCTGACCCCGCCCTGTCATGTGACGTGGCCTACCACTTGGTGGCTGAGTGGCTGTTGTTCCCAGTTGCTTCCACTTTGTTATAATCCCACTAACAGTTGAGCGTGGAATATTTAGTAGCCAGGAAATGTCACGGATGGACTTATTGCCCAGGTGGCCACCTATCACGGGACCACGCTTGGAGTCACTGAGCTCCTGAGAGCGACCCATTCTTTCACCAATGTTTGTAGAAGCCGTCTGCATGCCTAGGGGCTTGATTGTATACACCTGTGTCCATGGAGGGGATTGGAACACCTGAATCACATGATTGGAGGGGATTGGAACACCTGAATCACATGATATGGAGGGGATTGGGACACCTGAATCACATGATATGGAGGGGATTGGGACACCTGAATCACATGATTGGGAGGGGATTGGAACACCTGAATCACATGATTGGAGGGGATTGGAACACCTGAATCACATGATATGGAGGGGATTGGGACACCTGAATCACATGATATGGAGGGGATTGGGACACCTGAATCACAAGATTGGGAGGGGATTGGAACACCTGAATCACATGATATGGAGGGGATTGGAACACCTGAATCCTAGGATTGGAGGACAATACTTTCAGCAATATATACAGGCCATACACGGGTCGAATTCTGAACAAATTTTCTTTAGAAATTCGGAAATTTCGTATATTTTGTAACCCGATGGCGCCACCATTGATTTCAAAATGTGACCAACCGAGCCTTCAATTTCATCTCACGTTGCTACAGAAAAAATTTTTTTGGCCAAGAGTTTTCTTTTCTTTCCAGGTCACGGCTCACGCGCATTTCTTTTACGGCTCCCGCTCATTTCTTTTTCAATTATATTTCTCGCATGATTCTCCCATCATAGATTAAAAATTTGTTCGTTTTTAAAAAAATTTCCAACGTGCCCGACCCTTCAAATTCGATGGTCGCTCGAAAATCGGCCGTTGATGGGGGCTACTAATGGTACGAAATTTGAATGAAAATTCTTAGAAAAGGTTTTCGAAAGAAAATGATTTCAAAATTCAACCCGTGTATGGCCGGCTATAGTGTATCCAAAGGTAGGCCAGAGCCATGGCAACATAGCGAAGGGTAGACTGTAGTCATGGTGACATATCTAAAAGATAGACCGTAGTCATGGCGACATAGCTATAGGTAGACCATAGTCATGGCGACATAGCTACAGTCATGACAACATAGCTATAGGTAGGCTGTAATCATGGTGACATATCTAAAAGGTAGACCGCAGTCATGGCGACAGCTATAGGTAAACCGTAGTCATGGCGACAGCTATAGGTAGGCCGCAGTCATGGCGACACAGCTATAGGTAGACCGTAGTCATGGCAACACAGCTATAAGTAGACCGTAGTCATGGCGACACAGCTATAGGTAGACCGTAGTCATGGCAACACAGCTATAGGTAGACCGTAGTCATGGCGACAGCTATAGGTAGGCCTTAGTCATGGCGACAGCTATAGGTAGGCCGCAGTCATGGCAACATAGCTATAGGTAGACCGTAGTCATGGTGACATAGCTATAGGTAGACCGTAGTCATGGCAACATATCTAAAAGGTAGACCGTAGTCATGGCAACATAGCTATAGGTAGGCCGCAGTCATGGCGACATAGCTATACGTAGACCGTAGTCATGGCGACATAGCTATAGGTAGACCATAATCATGGCAACATATCCAAAAGGTAGACCGTAGTCATGGCAACATAGCTATAGGTAGGCCATAGTCATGGCGACACAGCTATAGGTAGACCGTAGTCATGGCGACACAGCTATAGGTAGACCGTAGTCATGGCGACATATATGAAAGGTATATTAGAAGTATTAGGTATTATTAGATGTTAAATTGTATTGGATTCAACTTCTGTGTTTTATTAAAGAGTTAGGCTGCCTGTGGGGGTGCCAAGTCAGCAGGTGACCCCATGCTGTCCAGACAACCTGGGTTTGTGGAGGGTTGTCAATGCCTAAAAAACAAGACATGCAAGTGAAAGTGAAACTGCAGCAGAAAAAAAGCTCAGGTCTCCTCTTTCACTGCTAGGCAGGGCTGTTCTATGTGACGGAGCTGTGTTAATCTCAGGATTGGAAGGACAGAAATGTAAATCCTTTTGTAGGAAAATCAGATCTCATGTTTGCATTTCATCAGCGTGTTAGAAAGCCTATAGGGCAAGAAATGAACATTTGTTGTAGGGTTGGGCCTGGTAGTGGAATCACAATCCTTCCTCTGACCCTCTTCTCCTAAGGCGTCCACTACAGCTGACCTTGTGAGTTCCATTCAGCCTCACACTGACACGTGGCGTGATGGCGAGGGGCCGCAGCTGCTGCCAACGTTTACACTTCTGCGTTTAAAAGAAGCGTTTGGGTTTTTTTTTCAGGCGCTGATATATATTTGCATTATAAAATGCATTTTTCATCAGTTATAATATACCCCAACATGTGTTCAAGTAGGTTGAAACCCTCAGGGCTCGTTCCCATTAGCAACCCCCCCCCCCCCCCCCCGTAAAGCGATTCACCTTGGCTCCTACAATTTTTTTAGATTTTCTTATATTAATGTAACACACATATATATATATATATAAAAATAATTTTGTAGATATATTTAGTCATTTTATTTGATTAGTGGATTAATTTACACTTTTATATAATTTTTATTATTCGTTATTTATTTTTATATATAAATTTTTTTTTTTTTTTTAAATTAAACTATTATTGAATATTCAGCATGTTTTATTTATCATTTTAGTGGATCCTAGAGGGCAGTTGACAGGCAGCTGGGAGGCTCCTCCTCACAGCATTTAATATTTGAATTAATACTACTAATATATATATTAGTTTTTTTTTTTAAGTCTTTATTTGTTAAAATTATCAATATAGTATTTTATATATAAATATATATATTTTAGTGGATCTTAGATTGGATTTTAGAGGGCAGTTGACAGGCAGCTGGGAAGCTCCTCCTCACTGCGTTTAATATTTGAATACTACTAATTAATATATATATATATAGTATTTTTTTATTGTCTTTTTTATTTATTAAAAATTATTAATATAGTATTTTATATATAAATATATATCATTTAGTGGATCTTAGAGGGCAGTTGACAGGTGGCTGAGAGGCTCCTTCTCATCGCATGTTTAATTTTTTTTATTTATCAATATATTACTTTAGTATAATAGAATATATATTTTTTAATTATTATTTTATTATTATTAATATAGTAGTGGATCTTAGATTGGATTTTAGAGGGCAGTTGACAGGTAGCTGGGAGGCTCCTCCTCACTGCGTTTTAATATTTGAATACTACTAATATATATATATATATATATATATATATATATATATATAGTATTTTTTTAGTAAGTCTTTTTTATTTATTAAAATCAATATAGTATTTTATATATAAATATATATATATTTTAGTGGATCTTAGAGGGCAGTTGACAGGCAGCTGCGAGGTTCCTCCTCACCGTGTTTAATATTTGAATAAATACACACATATATATATTTTTTTATTTTAGTGCGTCTTAGATTGGATTTTAGATGACAGGTGGCTGAGACTCCTCCTCATCACGTGTTTAATTTTTTTTATTAATATCTTTGCCATATGGGGCTGTCTCTTTGCTGGACTGGGCTGTCTCTTTGCTCAGTTGGGTCCAGCAAAGAGACATCCCCATCCAGCACAGAGACATCCTGTTTTTGCTATATGGGGATGTCCCTTTGCTGGATTGAGCCATCTCTTTGAATATACAGTGGGGCAAAAAAATATTTAGTCAGCCTCCAATTGTGCAAGTTCTCCCACTTACAAAGATGAGAGAGGCCTGTAATTGGCATCATAGGTAGACCTCAACTATGAGAGACAAAATGAGAAAACAAATCCAGACAATCACATTGGCTGATCTGGAAAGAATTTATTTGCAAATTATGGTGGAAAATAAGTATTTGGTCACCTACAAACAAGCAAGATTTCTGGCTCTCACAGACCTGGACCTTCTTCTTTAAGAGGCTCCTCTGTCCTGCACTCATTACCTGTATCAATGGCACCTGTTTGATACCTGTCCACAACCTCAAACAGTCACACTCCAAACTCACTATGGTGAAGACCAAAGAGCTGTCGAAGGACACCAGAAACAAAATTGTAGACCTGCACCAGGCTGGGAAGACTGAATCTGCAATAGGCAAGCAGCTTGGTGTGAACAAATCAACTGTGGGAGCAATAATTAGAAAATGGAAGACATACAAGACCACTGATAATCTCCCTCCATCTGGGGCTCCACGCAAGATCTCACCCCGTGGGGTCAAAATGATCACAAGAACGGTGAGCAAAAATCCCAGGACCACACGGGGGGGACCTAGTGAATGACCTGCAGAGAGCTGGGACCAACGTAACAAAGGCTACCATCAGTAACACACTACGCCGCCAGGGACTCAGATCCTGCAGTGCCAGACGTGTCCCCCTGCTTAAGCCAGTACATGTCCGGGGCCCGTCTGAAGTTTGCTAGAGAGCATTTGGATGATCCAGAAGAGGATTGGGAGAATGTCATATGGTCAGATGAAACCAAAATAGAACTGTTTGGTAGAAACACAACTCGTCGTGTTTGGAGGAGAGAGAATGCCGAGTTGCATCCAAAGAACACCATACCTACTGTGAAGCATGGGGGTGGCAACATCATGCTTTGGGGCTGTTTCTCCGCAAAGGGACCAGGACGACTGATCCATGTACAGGACAGAATGAATGGGGCCATGTATCGTGAGATTTTGAGTGCAAACCTCCTTCCATCAGCAAGGGCATTGAAGATGAAGTGTGGCTGGGTCTTCCAACATGACAATGATCCCAAACATACCACCCGGGCAACGAAGGAGTGGCTTCGTAAGAAGCATTTTAAGGTCCTGGAGTGGCCTAGCCAGTCTCCAGATCTCAACCCCATAGAAAACCTTTGGAGGGAGTTGAAAGTCCGTGTTGCCCAGCGACAGCCCCAAAACATCACTGCTCTAGAGGAGATCTGCATGGAGGATGGGCCAACATACCAGCAACAGTGTGTGCCAACCTTGTGAAGACTTCCAGGAAACGTCTGACCTCTGTCATTGCCAACAAAGGATATATAACAAAGTATTGACATGAACTTTTCATATTGACCAAATACTTATTTTCCACCATAATTTGCAAATAAATTCTTTCCAGATCAGCCAATGTGATTGTCTGGATTTGTTTTCTCATTTTGTCTCTCATAGTTGAGGTCTCCCTATGATGCCAATTACAGGCCTCCCTCATCTTTGTAAGTGGGAGAACTTGCACAATTGGTGGCTGACTAAATACTTTTTTGCCCCACTGTATATTTTTTTTATTTTAGTGCGTCTTAGATTGGATTTTAGATGACAGGTGGCTGAGAGACTCCTCATCACGTGTTTAATTTTTTTTTTATTAATATCTTATGGGGCTGTCTCTTTGCTGGACTGGGCTGTCTCTTTGCGCAGTTGGGTCCAGCAAAGAGACATCCCCATCCGGCAAAGAGACATCCTGTCTTTGCTATATGGGGATGTCTCTTTGCTGGATTGAGCC